GAGCTTTAGGTTACCGTTGGCACAATGCGCGCGCCGGGTAACCGTAGCGACAGGCTAGAAGAATAAATTTCTTGGGGTGTTGTAACTATGTTAGGTAAGGTTATTAGAACTCTTAAATAAAAAGAAGAATACGAGTAAATAAAATTAATTTACATTTTTAATAACTCCATGAAATTCCATCAGAATATCTAATAAATTATAATACATTACCACATGTTATTTATATTAAGTGACTGGTATTTAACTGAAAATTTGATTTTTTTAATTTTATATTTCAATGTAACGTTAGATGATTACCTACATGGTTTTATCAAAATAAAAGTATATCAAACGTTAGTATTTACTTTATATAGTACATATTTTGGAAATAGAACTTAATATTATACTTATCTTATGCTGCGTCTCCACCAAAGTTTTGTTACCAACTGTTGTGTTGGCAACAAAACAATGTCGGGAACCGTGTTTCCATTTTCAGCGGCAACATCAAAGGAATACCCTTGTTGCAAACATTTGTTCCCTCGGTGAAGACGCTTGTTGGAAACAAATGTTGTCAACATTTTTGGTGGATACGCGGCTTTACAGTAAAGGGGCCTAATTTTAGCTGTAAAGATTCCTAAACTTTTTTGATTATAATAATTTAAAATTAAACATTTTGTACAGCCGACTTCAATATAAGTTATTAAGAGTAACTCAAAAGCTATTGGTCTGACCTTGATCAGACCTTGATTGAAGACAATTCATATGGGACTACACGAGAAGTACCAGCTTTCAAATAAAAAAAGAATCATCGAAATCGCTTTACCGAGTAAAAACTTATGAGGTAACTCACATAAAAAAGGTGAGTACCGTCACCTTTTTGGAAGTCACCGAAGCTCGTGGTCACAAATCGACAAATTACTGTTTTGGAAAGTCTTATAAAAACGGTTACTAAGTCCCCCCGCCACGATAAGGCGGAAAAGGCACCTACTGTAATTTTGTTAATAAAACGAACATAGCCAACGAAGTCGTGAAACAACACCGCCGAAGATATTATTTATTAGTTTATTCTATTCAAAGTAACTCGTTACATACAACTTTTCGCTACAAATAACTGGAAAAGTTCGAGTATACACAAATGTTGATTTGTAGTTCGTTATTGGCAGCTGACGATTGAGTTGCTCGTTCTGGCGTAACCGTACCTAGCGCGCACCTTACCCTCGTAATCAGAACATTCATAAATCGCGAGGAGTGTGGCCGCTCGAAATTTGGAACGCAGCCAGATACCTAAAGAGTAAATTTGAGTTGGTACATTATGAGGCCGCTGTCCTAAATTTCAATCATGCATTATTAAATATTTATTGAAATTACATAAAATTAGTTAACTTAACTTACACGAATCAATAAAGATAAACTTACCGAGCCTGCTACGCATTTGAAACGTCGGTAACATTATAATTGAGCTTTGTGTGTGGTCAGCTATATTCACGTCATAATAATTACATTATGTATGGATATTGAAATGTGAAATTAAAATCTAACAATATTGTTATTTTAACGCTATCATTGCACTCACTCTCACAGTCCGATGGAACGGTATTTCGACACGACCAGGCGCAGGACCAACGTCTTTACGTGTTTTCCGAGGTACGGAATGAAACATCACCATCTTCCTGACTCCGGGTTGCTACTCATAATTTCTTATATAATACATATAGGTCACTCGTGCTGGCTTAACCATAAAATAATTTTGAAATCCAACAATATCCATAACTGCAAATTATTAAATAATGTAAATTATTTAAGTGAATATACATTATTTCTAATTTTTTTTTATTAAAAAAAGAAGTTGCATTATATTAATATTAATATTCAAGCAGCGGGACAAACAACCTATAACCTCTTTGTATTACATACTTACTAATAAGAAACCATTGAGTTATATGTACTACGTACTAGAGAAGCCATTTCAAACAAAAACTGTGTCCTATTCTATGTTTTCGCGCATGCGCGGGAGTAGTAGTCGCGCATGCGCGAAGACTTTAATTTGATATAAAATAAGACATTAATATAAAATAAATAAAATAATTTAATATAAAATATCTTAAATTCATCTAAACAAACAGGTTATATTTCTAAATAAAATGTAATAATTATTATTTTATGGAATTCACAAATCTTCAATTTACGCAATATTTAGTTTGTAGGGATTGCACTACAGTTTAGTTGAACATAGTCAATGTTCGGAATGGCTTCTCTAGTACGTAGTACATATAACTCAATGTAAGAAACAGTGTAAAAGAACCTGTTCAACTTCTCTCTTTTAATTTGTACGAATATGATAACTTCTATTCATATCTCAATCGTAACATACGTAGTTACATAGATATATAATAAATATATGCATGGTTCTAGCGCTGCGGGATAGATAGATAGATAGATAGATTAAAGGTAAAATTTGATCGTCGTGTTGTGTATCGCGTCAATTTAAAAGTGTCATTTGCACGAGCGCGTGTCGGAATCGGGTTGAGCGATCGCGTTAACAAATTCATGAGATACATTGTGCGCTTGCGCTCGGAAATCTTTCGAGGTCGCCTCGTTTGGAAATCTTTGTCCTCACTAATATATTAATGAGACTGTACTCTGCATGAATTTAAATGAATTTTTTTAATTCGCGTCTGCTATCTATTGTGATGAACGTTAGCGGCATATTTTATTGTATCGTCGAGGTGATGAACCGTTATTTTTATATGCCTCATAGTAATGAATACAATTCAATACGATTTTTACGTTAATAAAATATAAAATTTATTTAATTACCAGCTATAATAACTTTAGACAAATATATGCAAACGACATCTTTAAAAGTAAGCTTATTATAGGTAATATATATAAAATTTTAAAAATAAATATAGCTTTAATAATGTAATGGAAATGTGTTCATATTTACAAGAATCATTCTATCTGTGCTCCTAGTAATCATCATCATTACAGTCCTTCATAAGTCCACTGCTGAACATATACCTCCCCCAAGGAACGCCACAAAGCACAGTCTTGAGCCACCTGCATCCATCGACTTCCTACATGTCTTACCAGCTGGTCACTCCACCTAGTGGCGGGGACGCCCTACACTTCGCCTGCCGGTACGAGGCTGTCACTCGAGAACCTTTCTTCGCCATCGGTTCTTGAGCTTTGTAGCGTTGGGCTATGTCGGTTGCTCTGATTCTACTGTGGATATCCTCGTTTTAAGTCTATCACGCAGAGAAATCCCGAGCATAGCCCTCTCCATAGCTCGCTGAGCGATCTTGAGCTTCCTCATACGGCCAGTAGTGAAGGACCACGTCTCAGATCCATAGATCATCTAGTAATAATAAAATATAATTTAGGTTTTCCTTCTTTTAATTTCTATATGAAATATTTCATTGGGTTCCATAAATATGTTTATAGGGGACAGGTTCTTCACATATTTATTTTAACTTTTGTTATTTTAATGTACATAAAGTGGTGGTCATAGAATTAAGTACGCTTCATACAACGACATCATTTTGAAATTTAAATCTTCATAACAAAAAAAAATATTACTTCCTGAAAAATATTGGCTATACTGCAAATTAGTAAATTTGAAAGGTTAACATAGTCGAAAATAAAATTAGGAAATAATTTGTATGATTAGTGTTCAATTTGTTGTCATTTAAATATTGTTCGCATAGCAATAGGTGGGAAGTTCGTCAAATAATTAAGAACGAAAGAAAGACTTAATAATAATATTAACAATAATTTAATAATTCCACCAATAATTAATTTAAAAATGTTATGTAGTGTTTTAATTATTTAAAAAAAAACTTTATTTTTATTTAGTGGATGCTTCACGGTCCTGGGTGTAGAGATATCTGTATGCCAGCGGCGCGGCTCTGACGCTATCAACTTTTGGCTGGTTTCAACTGAAATAGAATTCCACTCTTCCAAAAACGAGTCTACAGCTTATTAGTGTTACCACACCGTCTGTTTGATAGTTTACCTAACTGGCTTACTTGACACCAAACATGCTTGATCGAATTAAGATCTGGGCTAGTTCTTACCAAAAACTTCATTGTTATTTTATTTGAACCTTTAATGGGTCCTGCTTAGCAAGGTGAATTATTCTTAAATCTTCTCGTGGGGACGTTTTTTTTTATACGACCACGCAGTTTTATTATTTTTCTATAGCAGTAGACTCGCAAGATTTATTATGACCCATTTTTATTAAAAATAAATTGCAGAAAACGTATAACCTGACAATAATATCGCGGAAATGCAATAAAAATAGTAATGGAGACACCGCATTCCATTTTCAAAGTGATTAGATATTAATTATTAGTCCAGTCAGTATTCCAGCAACTTTCTCAGTTCCTATATTTTAATAAGTAGAAAAATAAAAAGATATATTATTTCGACAAGATTATTACACTAACTTATAATACAGATCAGTTATAATAATATTCTGTAACACAGAGTATGTTTAGAAATAAATTGTGCACTGAAATTATGGCGAAATCATAGTTATTGGCTTTCTATTAATCGTTCTTAATACTATACCACCACTATACATAATATTGAATTGAGCAAAAATTCCTGAACGAATTTAAACGGTACACCGTTTAAAATGTTAAGACATTTCTATAATTGTAAGAAGTTACTAAAAAATTGGAACTTTTATACCAAATAACAAATTACCATAATATATACCATTACCATAATGTGACACAAATATAGCATGTATTATGATGGATGCAGGTGGCTCAGGACCGTGCTTTGTGGCATTCCTTGAGGGAGGCCTATGTTCACCAGTGGACTTATGAAAGGCTGTAATGATGATGATGATGATACGATCACTATCAGAAATAAGAGGCGAACTCAGGGCGTAGTTTTACATTTTTACGATAGGACAATAATAAAGACGCAATTTAATAGATTTTTCATTGCAACTGTCGTATTCTTATGTGAACCGTACAAGGATTATTAATGATGTAAATGTTTTGTCGCAGCCGTGCGTGCCGACCGTATGCGCGGCGGTCGCAACAAGTTCGGTCCGATGTACAAGCGCGACCGCGCCCGCAAGCTACAGATGATGCGGCAGCGTCAGATCGCCGTGCAGACATTGCGCGGGTCACTGGGCGACGGCGGACTCGTGCTAGGGTTCGGGTCGCCGTACGCGTCGGTGCCGGTGAAGCAGGAGATCCAGATCCCGCAGGTGTCGTCGCTGACGTCTTCGCCGGAGTCTTCGCCGGGGCCGGCGCTGCTGGCGCCGCCGCAACCACCGCAGCCGCCACCGCCACCCGCACATGACAAGTGGGAAGCGCACTCGCCGCACTCCGCCTCGCCGGACGCCTTCGCCTTCGACGCGCCCGCCACCGCCGCCGCAACCCCCTCCAGCACCGAGCCCACCACCACCGAGACCCTTCGCGTCTCCCCCATGATCCGCGAGTTCGTTCAGACCATCGACGACCGCGAGTGGCAGAACTCGCTCTTCGGACTCTTGCAAAGCCAAACTTACAACCAGTGCGAGGTCGATCTCTTCGAATTAATGTGCAAAGTGCTGGACCAAAACCTATTCTCACAGGTCGACTGGGCGAGGAACACCGTGTTCTTTAAGTATTTAAAGGTGAATTTCCAGATAAGTATGAATATCCTGTCCCACCATCCCCAAACCTAGTCCCGGTGTACACCGCTGCTTGCGAATTTGCATTGCGACGTTATGCGTTATTTTCATTTGATTAAACTTTTAAGGCTTTGCGAATGTTCTCACATAGTGTGTGCTGGCAGGCCAGTAATTTACGATGTGCTTGTGTGAATGGGGGCGCGTGTGACGCATCGGGGACGCGGGCCGCTCGCAATCGATACACCGCGCCTCGCAACTGGGTCAAGTTCCCATGACAAACGCGCCTCTAATTCGTCGTATTTCTATTCCACCTCCACATAGAAGAACTATTATACCATGTTATCATTACACACGAGGATCTGCTAAGTTAGGACATGGAAGCTTCCGATTCACTTATTCGTGGACGTATTGAAGTTCGTGTGTTAGTTCACTTCACTTAATCAAAAAATGTACCTAATTCATCTATTAGGTTTAATAGAACGTACAATGGAAACGTGTGTCAGTGACGTATAGAACGTGCGTTGGTAGTGATCAGGCGAGAGTTGGATCAATCAGGCAGTTGAAGTGAAGAGTTGCGGCGGCGATCATCGTATGCTTACGCAAGAGGCGCGCGGTCACGTGGCTGCGCGCTGTTGCCACTCCGTGCTTTGTCGCGTCTCGCTCCGGCAATCAGCCTCCGCTTCGCGGCTAACAATTCTCATTTGCGTTAAATGGCGCGGCTTGTTTACGACCGATTCATGGAATTAGGACATCTAAAATACGTAAATCTCGCGGTTGCACTTTGCTTACGGAAGCTATGGTTTTAGCTATTTCCTAATACCTAATAGACCATTCCGGTGAACGCGAATGAGGCCTACTAGGAGCGATAAGTTATGGGGAAAAGAGGCAAGTTCGAGAGAAGTGTTGATGACCCGCGCTTTCTCCAGTCGGATATGATGTAACGGTCCGTCGCGGAGCGGCAACGCTGTACTTTCGTCGCGCACTTGACACAGTGCCCGTGGCCGAGTTGCCGCGAGAAAGCACTTTTTACTGCATAACCAGCGGTAACGGCTACGTAACTAACTAGGCGCTCGGCCTTTCTTCGCTTTCTCTTGCGTAACACCGGTTACGATTAGCCGCATAACACAGCGATGAACTTGAGCGGTCGATGACGTTTCCACGTTCCTGCGTTCCTGCGTTGATTATGTCAGTGTTTATGAAGAGAAATAGAATTACATCTTTCCTAAAGAAAAGTTTCAAATAAAGTCAAGAGATAATAAACACAACATTATTGATTGATTAAATTGAGTATATTTGAAAAGAATTATTTTCTTTTAGTGTGGAGCATTAAAGGCTACTGGCTTTCAGCTTACATCATATCGCCTTCTGTGGTCTAGATATTAGCCAAGCGCCAGTTTCGAAACTGCTCATAATGACAATAAGCCAGTTAGGTAAATTTAGCGCCAACATAATCTAATATATATTCGACATTTCACTTGTACCTATTCCGGCCGGCCTACATTGTACCTTATGTAATAAACAGCTTTCAGGCTTTAAGAGTACGCATTTTAATAAAGGTCTGCCGGATCTGTTAGATCCGCTTAATAGAGATTAAATGACGATTCCTAGTACTAGATCACGGACGGCGGACTTGCGGATAACTCAATAGGATGTATATTTCCACGCCGATATTACGTAAAAATAAATTTAAAAATTGAAAGAACCAAACTATTCGTAATTATACCTTTACATTATTTTCTCTCTCCCGACGTTTATCCTGAATTATAAGCCACACAAGCCAGCACGGCTTTGACCTACGCACGTTCGTAGCAGTAAGGTAGCCGCGCATGTTCAGGATCAAAGCATACAAAACATTTACTTCAAAGAATGAAGACATCATTACAGCCATTACAAGTTCACGTGGCAAAGAATGCCACAGAGCACGGTCCACCTGCATCCATCGACGAAGAACGTATTTTTCTTAAATTATGCTAGATAAAATAGTAAAGAAAATCAGTTCTCAATATTTTCAAATAAAATACTACAATTGTGGCATGTTTAGAAACCCAACACCGTAAAATCCGTACCGTAATCAGTCTCATATATCGCTTATAAGCCTTTTTCGCAACTTAGTTCACTCTGTCGTTATTATACCTTTCGTTATTTAATTTAACAAAATTACCTTACTTATACATTATGTATGACGGATGACGTTATGGAGTTTAAAGATCGATTTCTTTATTCGAAATATGCCATAACATTTACAGATATGCTCAAGCTGTAACTAAAGGTTACATATAAAGAAATTATACAACACAAAAACGAGTCTTGTTTTAAAAAAAAAGTAAAAGTATTTTAATAAAGATTGGCACGAATTATTCTCATACTTGAATCATCGGCAATAATGCATCTTTCCGATAGATTTGATATAGTCCGATTTTGACGGTCCGATCTCGATCGGGCGTTGAGCAAGAACCGCAATGTGGCAATAACTACGAGCTCTAAAATTCAGTTGTAACATTTCGTAAACGGCGAATTTAACGCGCACACCGCCCTGTGTATTCTAATGCAACTCTACAGAATGTAGGTCACAGAAACACTGCGCGAAGCACACGCCGCCCGTCAGATACCGGCCCGAACTAGATAACGAGACACGGGTTTTATTTAACTCGCCACTTTTAATAGAAAATAGAACTATTTAAGCATATATACCGGAAACACTATGACACGCCACGGCCGATTGCGTCACACCGAACCGACGTCACACAATAACATCCAGTCCAGTAGTGTATGAAACTGACGCCGTCTGTGTAATGAATTACATTCCAAGTAAATCTAAATGCATCGAGTAACGGAGTAGTACGCGTAAAATTATTATTTTATATAATATGCATCAATTTCGTATACTGATATGTATATAACTGTGTAGATTTGCAAGCGAATGTATTATAATAACTTTGAAGCGAGGTATTACTCCATTACTCGGCAATCAAGGCGGTACCGCTCCTTCCTCTAACATCAGTGACGTGCCTCGTTTTCGCTGCTGTGCACATATAGCAATGCGGCTTTTCTTTGTTACAGGTCGATGACCAGATGAAGCTATTGCAGCACTCATGGTCCGACATGTTGGTCTTAGATCACCTCCACCAGAGGATGCACAACGGGTTACCGGATGAGACTACGCTACACAACGGACAAAAATTCGACCTCCTCTGCTTGGGTCTTCTCGGTGTACCATCTCTGGCTGATCACTTCAATGACCTCCAGAACAAATTGGCTGAGCTGAAATTCGACGTGCCGGATTACATATGCGTGAAATTTTTGCTTCTTCTCAATCCGGGTTAGTATTTTCTTCCCCATTACGTGAATATGTACGAAATGCTATACTTGCGAATGATTATTGTTTATTATATATGTCATGGTTGCTTAGTGATTGAAAACGGGCTCGGCTAACGATGTCGTATTTATTTTGAAGAGTAATCTTGGGGTTTCAGAGGTGAGAGGCATCGTGAACGTGAAGTGTGTGCGAGATGGATATCAAACTGTGCAAGCTGCGCTCCTCGATTACACGCTCACCTGCTATCCAACGATACAGGTAAAATACACTGTTCTATTTCTATAAAATAAATAGCTAATAAAAATCTATTATATAAGTTTAAATAATTTTTGAAATATAAAGTACTAGTGATCCGCCCCGGCGTCGCACGGGCGATTTCGGGATCTCGACAACAGCGCCACCTAACGGTACCCATTAAAACACCAAAAAATCATTGAAATCCGTTGCGTACTTTAAAAGATCTAATCGTACAGACTGCGGAAAGCGACTTTGTTTTATACTATTAGAGATTACGAGGTAAAAATGTATTGCTCATAGGATAAATATAGCAAACATGTTCATTAGTTTTTTCATACTTTGAAAAGACATTATGTAGAGATTAAGCCGAATCTGACTGAAAACGAGACCTCAGCTATTAACAGACAATAAACGTTAGACGTCTAGACTTATATCAGAATGGCACTAAAGTAATCTGGTTCACAAGATTAATTGAATTGTAAATTTGAAAATATGATGCCGCTTTTAAAACGCATAATGTTTGAATATAACTTATTCCGTTCTATCTTTGTGTTGGCATTTATCAGATTAGCCGGGGCTCTGTTGTTTCCTTTGCTTTTCGCCGTTCTACGGGTCATGTTTCCAAATAATTTCGATTCGACCGAAAATTCGATAACCAATAATACAAATTATTGACTCCTTAATTTCTCTAAATTTAAAACCTATTGAAGCCGCCGCAGTCTCTGTGACGTTTCTTAATTTACTAACTTGGGAAGTAACCTTATGACTTTACTTTCAAAGTTGTTACTTAAAATTTTACGTTAAAAAAACTCTATTTTCCAGGATAAGTTCGGGAAATTGGTGATGGTTGTCCCAGAAATACACGCACTAGCAGCCCGAGGGGAGGAACATCTATATCAGCGACATTGCGCCGGGCAGGCCCCTACGCAGACCCTCCTCATGGAAATGCTACATGCCAAGCGCAAGTGAGTTCAAGTTTTAATATTCTTAAAATAAAATTACATGTTTATTTACTATAACTTTGAGGTATTTACCATTAAAAATGAATAAACGACACCTGCCTTGCTTTTCTCATATGAAACTGTACCACTGATGATTTATTGATATAAATTTAAAGATTATTTAAGTATATATTTTTATGTATTTTATTTAATAAAATATTTCTTCCTCCCTTTCTCTTGTTATAAAGAAGTCTTGTGGTCCTTTTTGCCTGATAGAGTAATGGGTTATTAATTAGGACTGCTCCAAAAAGGGGCAACGCATACGAGAAATCCAGTAATGTGTCTTATTCTAGGCCAAACGGAGGCGAAATGGTTAACCGGAATGCTGAGCACACTTCGACTCTAGACAGATTGTACGTTACCCTATCTTATATGAGAATATCTTAGTTTATTATGCAATCATTCATGGCTACGCATTAACACAGAGTAGTAGTTGCCAGTTTTGCGCATTTGACAAATAGAGTAATGAAAAAAATAAGCGCAACAACCACAAACTTCTTTTCACTAGTGGATTTGCGTTATGCAAATTATATAGCCAGCTTGATTTGAATTTGCGTAAGGTGTGTGTAAAATTTTATTTAAATTTTCGTTTGCTGTGCTTATATATTGCAGTGTAAGACCATATCTCAATATTGTCCCGTTATCTAATGGGAATTCCTTTTTTCACTTCGAGTATATGCTTTTTTTATATTTTATGTTTTTATCAATAATATAAAGTGTGATTTGTAATGTTGATGTTGAAGATTTAGAACTTAATTATTGTACTATATAAATACATAGGAATTTTGTTAGAATAAAATAAAAAATGTGTCACTTTTACAGTTATGTAGTATTGCATAATTTTCTGGTATATTTTAACTGGCAACTCTACAATTCATCCCAGGCTTTCAAAATAACATTGGTGTGAGCATTTTACTGCGCATATAATATTATTTGAGACGCTTTTTAAGTTCCATGTATTGTTGTCATTTAGATTTTGCTTTTGACTTATCACAGCCCTAGATTTTTAGCAATATTACCATTTGGCCACGTGTCTGATATTTTATTACTATAATTTGAACACATTTCAACTTAATCTGAATTCATATCATTAATTTTTATTTAATAAGTTAAACAAGAGAATAAAGTACATAATCTGCAGAAGTAATATGCTGTGCGGGTGTATAACTGTTTGCTTTTTGTGCCAAATAACATATTGGTCAAAATGACACAAGCTGTGAAGTATGACTACACTACTACTACACTGAACAAATTTCACATACTTTTACTAGTAGTAAAACAGGGTTAATGACGAACAAAAATAATAATTACTGAACGATTTATCGTGTTTATTTTGTCTTATTAAAAAATCAACACTGCTTGTCTTAATGTTACAAGTATAATATGATCAATTACTATGTAACATACATTATATTTGAAATATATACTTATCGAAAGTCAATTATGTCTACCATAATCTTATGAAGAAAGTTAGTAGAAAATACCCATCTTCCAATTAACTAAAATAATTCTACATAACTAAATAGAATAGTAGTATTTGCTATAACGTAGACAAAAAGGAAACAATTTTACAAAAAATGTTTGTAAAACTCTTTCCTTTTTGTTTAAGATCATAAACTTTCATTGTAAAAAAATAACCCTATTCACTTATTATTGATTGTTAATGAATAAAGTAGTATTTTAGCAATCAATAATATTGTATATCCCTATCCAAGTAAAAGTTAAATTGAAATTATTTATAAATGAGTAAAATTTCGCTTTAAGCCCTGACATCTTTTTCGTTTAATGCGACACAACGCCTTGGTTTTATTGAGTTGGTCTTGGGCCAAATTTTAATCTTGTAACGTGTTGTGTTATGTCAAGTACTGTGCCACTAATACACTTTATTGACCTAATTCACTCTAGTGCCGAACAATTGACCTAAAACAAGTCAGCCCTTAACATTTTATAAATAGTATTCCAAGTTGGAAGTGTTCATGATAGCTAATGGAGCTTAACTATGCTCACCCTTTACCACGTATCTTATTAATTAAATGTTTTGTTAAACAAGCTATGTATTATTGGCTCTTTTAAAATGAGAACACGCTAATACCAATCATTCACTCGTAAATAAAAACATAAAACACGTAGCACTTCCCGTATGTGATATATAAGTGTAAATAATTCTTAATGACAAGTGTAACAAGGCATTATTAAATGAGCATTAAATGATGTTACTCATTGCGCCCTTGCATCGGTGTAATAATATTACAAGAGAATGCTCTGTGTGTGTCAGGTGCGGTTTCCTGCCAAGTGACACGATTGAGCCGCATTCGCCCATATAGAGTAAGCATATACCTACTTTGTTGTGCCTCAAATTCGCTTATCCCAGCACGCACACGCACTGTCGGTCAGCACTTAGTTTGCACACAACCTTACAAAGAATTTAAGCGTATTACAGCCACGTATATTAAGCAATGCGGCTTGATCGTTTTGCTGTATTTGTTATCATTTACTTATTTAAGTGGATGCTATATTTGAAAAAAAAAACACTTATTTCTTGTAGTACAAAATCGCTTAAGCTCTAAGGAAGACGCAACTTTTACAGCCACACTCTAACGATTACTTAAGTCGCACCTTCATACAGATTTGAATAGATTCACTCTCTCAGTCAGTTAACAGTACATATGCGTCCCTTAAAGACAGTAAAAGTTAAGAACAGTAAAACTTTTGCTTAAGTATTATTTATAAGATTTATTTTGACGTGTACATTTGAGGTGAAATTTTCTATTTTTACCAGTCAATTGGCAAAAAGTAAAAATGTCTGATCTGGTAGACATTCAGTTTGTGAACTATGCTAGAAGGTATAGAGAAGTGGAACTGAGGCAATAGTTACAAAAGTATTCAATGAACGATGTAGACGTGTATGTATATATATATATATATATATACCTGTGTTTCGTATGGTGAGTGTAGAGAAATGAAGAACCTTTCTACTGGAAACGAGTCATTCCATCTTTGTCCTCAAGGGTGACAAAGCATCTGCATTTTGATCTTTATTTATTTAAGGATAGGTATAAATGTATAAGGGCCACAGTGTTAAGCTGCTATTTTACGCTGGTTTTCTGTGAGAGCGTGGTCCTTCCCCGGTCGAGCCGACCCATTCGTGCTACAACCATAATATAGCTGCAGCATGGCTCTACCACGTTTTAGGCTAAGACTGCTTGTTAGACAAAGCAATATATAATACATAATATGAGGTTGCACTTTCGCAAATCTGTATTTCAAATGATATTAGCCCCAAAAATTCTTTCGTGTTCATGTCAAGGTTCTAAGAACTACACAAACCACCCATAAAGAAAACTAACATAATACGTTTGATTTGACTTTTTATTTAATAAGCATAAAAATTGTCGGAAATTGCCATTCTATTGTTTTAATTATTGAACCATCTGTATTTAACTATTTTGAACATTTTGAATTCCTACACTTTAACCGCAGCGCGTTAACAGATTTAACCAAGGTCAATACTTTTACTTTTTTATGTTGCCTACCGACGCTCAGTAAATATCGGCACGTTCTACAACCGCTTTATAGATCAATTTCCCAATTTTTAGTAAGTAGTACGTTTGCAGCGGTTTCGTTTAATGTAATTTAGCCGTGCGGGTTATATGTGGATTTTGGTAATGTGCAGATGGGCACAATTGTATCTAAAATAGCAGTTTAAAAGATTATTATAAATTTCGGTCACTTGATAATACAAAGATCAACAAGTTGAAGTTGCAATAGGCCGGCCATAAACCTCCTCTAGATAAAACGAGGCTGCTACTTGAGAACTTTGCTTTCCTATCGGTTGTTGTTTTTGGAACTATATGACCGGCCCATTACCACTTTAGCTTACTGATCCTTTGGGCTATGTATGTTAGTCTGGTTGTACTGCGGACATTCTCCCAAGACTGGGTGCCACAAGCTGCTTCCCCTAGATGGAACTCTTTAGATAGCTCTGTTTGGCCCAATTAAATGACTCTACATTAAAACATTTTTAACGTCTCTTGTAAAACATAATTGGGTGTCACAATCTGCTTCCTCTCTAATGGAACTCTTTAGATAGCTCTGTTTGGCCCAATTGAACGACTCTACATTAAAACATATTTAACGTCTCTTGTAAAACATAATTGGGTGCCACAATCTGCTTCCCCTCTAATGGAACTCTTTAGATAGCTCTGTTTGGCCCAATTGAATGACTACATTAAAACATTTTTAACGTCTCTTGTAAGCCACAATTGGGTGCCACAATCTGCTTCCCCTCTAATGGAACTCTTTAGATAGCTCTGTTTGGCCCAATTGAATGACTCTACATTAAAACATTTTTAACGTCTCTTGTAAAACATAATTGGGTGCCACAATCTGCTTCCCCTCTAATGGAATTCTTTAGATAGCTCTGTTTGGCCCAATTGAATGACTCTACATTAAAACATTTTTAACGTCTCTTGTAAAACATAATTGGGTGCCACAATCTGCTTCCTCTCTAATGGAACTCTTTAGATAGCTCTGTTTGGCCCAGTTGAATGACTCTACATTAAAACATTTTTAACGTCTCTTGTAAAACATAATTGGGTGCCACAATCTGCTTCCTCTCTAATGGAACTCTTTCGATAGCTCTGTTTGGCCCAATTGAATGACTCTACATTAAAACATATTTAACGTCTCTTGTAAGCCACAATTGGGTGCCACAATCTGCTTACCCTCTAATGGAACTCTTTAGATAGCTCTGCTTGGCCCAATTGAATGACTCTACATTAAAACATTTTTAACGTCTCTTGTAAAACACAATTGGGTGCCACAATCTGCTTCCTCTCTAATGGAACTCTTTTGATAGCTCTGTTTGACCCAATTGAATGACTACATTAAAACATTTTTAACGTCTCTTGTAAAACATAATTGGGTGCCACAATCTGCTTCCTCTCTAATGGAACTCTTTAGATAGCTCTGTTTGGCCCAATTGAATGACTCTACATTAAAACATTTTTAACGTCTCTTGTAAAACACAATCGGGTGCCACAATCTGCTTCCCCTCTAATGGAACTCTTTAGATAGCTCTGTTTGGCCCAATTGAATGACTCTACATTAAAACATTTTTAACGTCTCTTGAGCCACAATTGGGTGCCACAATCTACTTCCCCTCTAATGGAACTCTTTAGATAGCTCTGTTTGGCTTGGGCCAAATTTAATATAAAAGTAATTTAATTGGTTAAATTACTTTTTATTAAAAATATTTTTAACGTATCTTATAAAACGTAATTTATATTGAGTTTTTATGTGCTGAGTAGTCGCAATACTATACACATACTATTTATTACGCCCACCCAGTGGCGGATTTACACATTTGCCGCCAATAGACTATTGAAATTTTGCCACCCCTACCGACCTCAACAATTCTGTACGTAGCAATCATATTAATTATAATTTTTTTTGTCAATGAAATTGTAGGTTTATGATTTATGCACTATCGTCTTAATTACGCCACCTTTTTCCCGTAATTATTATGATTGTGAACTGGATTGATGTGTCAGTTCCTAGATTATTTGTACAATCCAATGATTTAGTTAAGATTGCACAAGAAATACTTTTTGGCTATATTACTGATCTAATAAAGGCTCAATCATATACTACTAATAAGGCGGGGTAAGGCATGCATTAATACTACTTATAGAATTATGTACATTCGGTAAAAAGAGCAACTAAATAATTTTTATTGCGCTTACTTACAGTTTAAAAACAATAATTCATAATAATAAAGTAATACGTTTTTGCGCGATTTCCTATTCGCAAAATCATCAATTATATCGTCGTGTGAAATCTTGTTCATTAGTTCTGACTCTATGCACAAAAGAACTAAAGCGTTAAGTTTTTCTTGGCTTAAGGTAAATCTTAGATAATTTTTCACCCGATATAAGCGAGAAAAGCCTCCTTATTCGAACAATCTGGTGTAGAGATAGAACTATGTGAACTGCTATTAATTGTATAAATTTAGGATAAACGTTTTGCAAATTCTATCGCAGGAACGAATATAGACTTCAGTAATCCAGAATATGGTTTGTTCAAAATTCTCTCAGAAGAAAGGTAGCATTGAAAATGAATGAATGGTGGCATTCTTGAAATAAGTCTGTCTCTAATACATTTTTTTTTCAAGAAAAGAGCTTTTTCCGTAAGAGTTGACGATGACAATCCACTCATTTTGATCAGAAATTAAACCTTTTCATTAAACCTGTTGTAGGCTTCCTGCTGTTTTTTTTTTTAAATTATGATACGAGTCTATCAATGAGGATGAGATAATATGTGTTAACCCTGAAAGTATCACTCATAGTTATTTTATTTCTTGATCGAGTGTTTCATCTTTTTACCGGTTGTTTTTTTATCTCCATCTTTTGTATACTGCTTCAAGCAGTAATTTCGCTTATTTCCGAAATTGTCGAAATACTTAAAATTGTCTCGTTCAGTCACGAAAAACTTGCAAGAAGAGTGATCAAACCTACGGTAGAAGCCTGAATTTATACATTCACTTTGTTTATTCTTTCCAAAAAACAATCCACACAATAATCATTAGCAATATTTCAAGTTTTTCTAAATTCAAAAGTATTCCCGTCGCTTCGTTTTGCGTTACAGGCTTTTTGGTAAAATCATTCTCGATTGATTCCAAAATATTAAGGACTACATGCCATGAATTTCAAACTTCAAGTCGCATCCTCTTTAACTGACCAACGTGTCAGAGTTATTCTCTTTAGCATTTTCCCTTTCCCTATTTCAGTCAATAATTTTTGCCAGCGTTGTGTTGAATTTACAAAAAATACGTAGATTTTTTGCAGTAACAAAAGCGACAAGCTTTTGTGCAAGATTCTGCAGGTACAGTTGCCACTAAATTTAAAGAGTGGACAGAGCAAGGAATGAAGAAAGCAAAAGGTGCTTGGCTTTGAAATTTAGCCAGTATTAAGCCATTGTACAGAGCAGACATGTTCGCGACGTTATCATATGATTGTCCACCATAGTCTTCATATGATTGTCAATATTTATGAGCAGTGTTTTGAGTTCCGAAATAATGGTAGAAAACATTTTTTCCGCTTTATGGCCCTCTGAGAGCAAAAGCTTGAGAAATCTTTCACTGGTTTCGTCTGTTTCCAAAACGTAAGTTCTAAAATGTAAGTTGGTCCACATGTGCTATATCTGGTGTTGATAATAAGGAAAAATATTTCACCCTTCTTATCTCGTCTCCAATCTGTTTTAAAACTTTATGATCCATCAAGAGAATAAACTCATCGCAAATGGTTTTTGATAAGTAATTAGTAGTTCCAGATTCTTGATTCCCAAATCGTTCAATATGACTGGCTAAAAAAGGATTGAATTCAGCTAACAGTTCCAAAATTATACAATAATTTTCGTTGTGCAGATTACCGAACTTTTCATTTTTTCCCTTGAAAGTGAGGCCTCTTGAACACAGTCGTTTCACTACGGCAACAAACTTCTCAGAACGTTTCTCCAAAAATTAGTTTCTTCATTAATCTGGACATGCAGTAAATTGTCGTGTCGATCATCAATCTCACTTTTAACTTTCAGACTAAGGATACTAGATTTATGACGCGCAGAGTTTTCATGCGGAGTTACTCGATATTCTGCATTTATTAAATGCAAACTGAGTCTTATTCTCCGATGGACCGCATGCAAAACAGGGCGTAATATACAGATTTTTCACTACAGATTAAACCAGTCAATTTCGGTCGTTTACGTCATTTTTCATTTTTCTTTGGAAGATACTAGCAAGAAACGACGCTGATCAACATATATTTTTCACTTTTAGAGAAGTCACAAGACTTGTTTTGATCGAAGCCGTACCTTGCGATAATCTCCCTTACGGTATCGTTGGTTTTCCATAAAGCTGGATCTTTGTTTGGATTTACTGCTGTTTGCACTCGGTTATTACTTAACTTCTGATTCTGAGACGCCATCTTCAGTTGTTATACTTATTGATGATTCCTCTACCGCCTCTTCTTTTTTTTTCTAAAGTAGATAGTCGGTGAGCGGCAGAGTTCAAATTTGTTTCATCTTTTCCTGATTGTATTGTGGCAGTGCATGCTCTTGAAGTTCTTGGTCATTTAACACTACTTCTATTTCCACTTTAAAAAAGCTGTCGATTTTATCGTTTTAGGGATAATCTATTCTTGTTCTTTTTTCATTTTGGCCTTCTTTTTATACTCAGCCCCACTGTCGCTTTGTCCCATCACTAATTTTTATTTATTAAAGAACTAAAATAAAAGATATTATATTTCCTCTCGGGAGCGCCGCGTTCATGTAGTGAATTCAGCGTTTCGGTCAGACACTTAGCGAATGGTCATGTCACTCGTTCCCGGGCCACAATTAAACGTGATTACGCAAAATGTAGTAACATTTATGTAAGTGGTGAAACATATTACATGTTAAATTGTTTGAGGACCTAATATCATTTAGGCATATAAATATGAATCTTTTAATTTCTGTAAAACACAAAAAACATGATCCCAAATTGGTCGCTTCTAAAATCTGCCGCCCTAGGCTCCAGCCTACTCAGCCTGCTGTTAAATCCGCCACTGCGCACACCAATAAACAGATACCAAACGCAACTGAATTCGTTATACGACACGATACGTTGATGCTCATTAAGTTTTCCTGACGCATTTGATGCAATTTTTTATTATTGCATTACAAATTTTAATTTAATATCAAGATTCAGAATGTAATAAAATGTAATAAATAAATATGTCTATGTATCGCATATTTTTTGATTAATGAATATGAATTCACAATATTCCTTAGAGTATTTATAAGCAAGCCATAGAGCGCGCGTAGCGCTTTTCACTTATTATGCTAACTGTAAACAGGTATTCTATACATGATACATAGATGAAGTGGTTAAATAGTGATACGCCATGATTGACGCTTGTATGTGTTAATTTAATTAAATTTATGAAAAAGATTTCTTTCTTCTGATATGAGTGTACCTTGACGTTTCTCATAAGCAAGTATCTGTACCAAAAAAACTGAATACATATATACCCAGCCATGTAGGAAATCAGTTGTTATGATGGTTCAGCTAGAAGAGTCTCAGGTAACGCCAAATCTTCCACTATCGACTATAAACTGAGAATCTGTGATATCATAGGAAGGAACAGAACTCCTAATGTGGGGCTCCCAGTTGGATCTTTTTATCGCTATCATCCACTTATTTGTTAATTCACGGCTTTTCGGAAAACTAAAATTAGATAAGTATTTAACCGTATTAGACTTTGTTATGTTCTTATATAACAAAGCTATTAAATGTTTTATTTTATTATCCGGTTGATTTTATTTTATGATGAGGTTAGGAATACAAAGGATCTGTAGTTCTATCTATACTATCACTATATCATAATTATTACGAAAACAATCATCCTCCTGGCCATCTCGAGACTGTTCTAACGCGTCTTTACAGTTCTGACTTTGCTTACATGCGCTCTATAGCTTGCTTAAATACTCTAAGCAATAGACCAAACGTTAGACACATTTCACTATTTCACTAATCATAAGCGACATTACAGATCCGTTTTATTTCATTGCATTATTTGATATTTTCTAATGTTACTGAGCTTTATATACTATGTATTTGAGGCTTTTATATAGTTGTATACAAATAACGCATCATACATGATATATAACAACTACTTTATGCTTTCATGGCTTTAATGTATAGATAGATGACATATTTGTAAGTCATATAGAATATCGGACAGGTTGAATCGGACAGAAAAAAACTGCTTATCCAATGTAAAATATTAGTATTCTTAGAGAAAAAGAAATCAGTAGATCCTTTGATATTTTTAAAACACTCAAATCGTTTATCTTATAAAAATAGCCTAAATGTAATAATAATTTAAAAAAAGTCTTAAACTGTATGGAAACTCTCCTTGTTATATTGGACAACTTTTTTACAATAGAGTTAACTTAGCCAAATAATTAGTAAGCAATGAAAATATTTGCCTGCAATAGTAGTAGCATATAAATACTCCATAAAATACAATAATAAGTCAGAAAATAGATATAATGAAATCGACAGTTCTCAGTTAATATAAAATATTTTAATATTTAATCTAATATACTTTAATAACTTTAAAATTATTTTACTGATATAACCATTCTGGTATTCTCACACAACAACCTTACCTCTATATTAATAATAATAGAAGGTATAAATGAGACAAGTAAAATAGAGATCAAAATTGAAGTGGGGAAAGGGGCAAAAAGATTGCTTATGCCTACTGTACTCTCAAAGGTCTTAGCCTTACAGATTTTAGCATAATAAGTTTCCTTTTACAAAAACTTACATTAGAAATAAGTGCTCAAATAAAAAACTTGCTAACATTAACGATTTCTGTTCACAGATCTTGAACTCCCAGTGACGTGTAAAGATAAGAGAGAAGATGCGCCAAGCGCTCCTGACAACTACATCAGATAAAATATTTTACAAATATTACTTATCTCTTAGTTTTAGTTTGTAACTTGGTGTGTGATTAATTATAATAAGTTATTGCACCGAGCGCCGGCCGAAGCGCCGCGCGTGCCTAGTCCCAATACAGATAAAACAAATATTTATCTATCTAATCTGTTACATAAATATACAGGATGTTTTACACCAGTCTCGTGTAGCTATGATTTATTTATTGAGCAGCCTATATTGTGTTATTTCAAAATTAATTAAGTTTATATCTACATTAAATAGACTAGAGTCATTTTAACACCGGTGCGAAGGGAAAATATTATATATACATTTAGGAAAGCGTCTGTGATTATAAATGATGAAATTTGGAAACCGCTGTAATGATAGTGGAGGTCGTAATGTATAAATGTTAGTTTATTTGCAGTACCTATGCATAAGCGGCAACGCCCGCACCTTGATTTCGTGTTACTTATTAACTTTACGGTTTACCTTTTCTTTAAGACTATGTAGCACTGCAAAGTACCGTTTTCACTGATGTCTAATTGGAGTGACGCGGTAATTGCTTCTCGTCTTAAACGGCGGCAACTCACTTACTTAGCCGATCAATTTCAGATTTTATGAAGAGTTGATATTTGAAAATTAGAATCGTCTATGTATATTGTAAGAAATTAAGTGTTCGCAAATAAAATCATGTTTTTAAAAATACAGTTATTCCCTAAAGATGTTTATCTCAATGTTGTAAATTAAATTAATCATTGATATTTTTATCGGCCGTGTCAGTACAAAAAAAAAATTATAATCCTTGTAAATATTATATTAGCACAGTACAGTGATTTATTCTACTTATATAATGTAATTATGTAAAATATTTTTCAACATACGTGCAAGAGAGCCTTAAAAATCATAGATTTTTAAAAGAAATGGGTACTAGCGTCTATCGGCCGATGGCCAACCGAGACGATGTATTTTTATAAAGCATATTGTTCTTTATTAACATATATGATATGTTAACTGAAAGTACATGATTTCGTATTTTTCTAATATAAATATAGTAGCGTACGTAAACAAGTGTAATGATCAACTTATATTGTGGAAATGGTTATATATAATATATTAATGTAATTAATAACAACGTCGGTCGTGTGACACAAGACTACGTATGCGTTGTGCGATTTATTAAGTTTGTTTCGTTTTTCGCTAATTATTGCGCCAGTTTTATGGCAGAAGAGACCCTCTGCGCGTAGGGCAGAAAGAGTTTTGATGGGGCTAAATGTACACTTGTGTATGTAACGAAAAGATTTTAGTTAATCGAAAATGTGATTAATGGTTTGTGTTTCAAAGTGAATGTTTATATATTTTTAAATTTTAATTATCATAGTGTCGTTGCACCAAGTGCAAATGTTATAGTAAGCCGCATCAACGACTAAGTATGGTAGATATTGTTATAAATAAAGATTTTTCTTTTGATTTGGCTTAACGGCTCTTTTCTATCTTAGCTTGTTAAACGTAATACATAAGTTATGGGCACCGTGTTTTTGTCTATTACCGTCCAGTGAACAGAACTTGTCGTCTTGACGAAAACAAAACATTAGGTTCTTAAAATATACGTCATAAATTTATGTACAACTCGGGCGAGCGGATTGTGAATGCAAATTGTTTAACAGCTACCAGAGTTTCTGTTTAATTTTTTATCGTTTTGGCAATAGGATTTAAAGTAAGTACCTGGCGTATAATTAAAATACGGATTTATATAAATATCAACTTTGATAAAGTTCCTGGAAACAATGTTGTGGTATGTTTTATAGATTATACAAGATACGTTCAGTTTGCCTGAAGAACAAGTAATTTTATATGAGAACAAAATGTAATGAGTTGTGCCTCCTATCGGAATTTTACGAAATTTGTTTCTAGAACGTGTCAAGACTTTTCATTACACCGACTAGCACGCGCACGTTCTCCACACGAATAAATACATTGGCTAGTATCAGTTAGGAACCCCACTTGTGTACTTCTCTTTTTATCTAAAATAGAAATAATAATTAGTGCATTGTATTGTGAAGGTGCGATATGAACAGATTTTGATTTTTTTTTTCTTGTTCGTAGTAAATTTTAAAATACGAACTCAATAAATAAAAATAAAAATGGATTTAAATACCAATAAAATACAATTTAATATTACTCTAGCGGTAAACTATGCATTCAAAGTCGATCGCAGCTTCACACTCGTAGACGCTTTATCGAAGGCAAAGCTGATCTGTGATGGTATGAAATAGTTAGGTACATTAGACTGTGTGGGTTTCGTATTAACTTTAGAGGCAGCACGACAGATTGCGACAATTTTTTTAAATCTTCCAATTTTATCCACAACATATTTTAAAAGTGACCTATTTTATATGCACCTGGTTTGGAAAATTTTATTATTTTCGCTGACCGGAATAGCATCACTCTTTTCAAATCCCCTTTACCTTAATTTCCTTTTAATGTTTTACCGAATATAATATACCAAACGTTTGTTACCATTTTACAGTATTTTTGTACACCAGAACTATTTTATTTATTATTTTTAATTTATACAGTATTAATTAAAATTAATTCGATCGTTTAACACATAACAAGGAGTCTAAATTTGCCTCGAAAGTAATATTTTAATCACCTTACATTTATATTTTTAGTGTATTTATGTATTAAATAATATTATTTTTATTAAAAACGTGTGTTTCGTGTAAATTTTGCAATTTTAGTATGATTATATTTTTATTATTTAACTTCATAATATATATTTATTCTATGCATCTATATCTGACACATACTAAACGACATGTATAATAGTATTTTTAATTTATTTTTATTATTTGACATATAGTACGAACTCTTATGTAAATACATCACATATATAAATATATACTACATACATTACATCCGCGTGATTTTGTCTGTAACTCATAGCGGTGATCAAAATAGGTGTTACTATGTCGTGTGCCATTTTATAAATGATTGTACTGGATTGTAACTGCGACAGTCGAAGGGAGAAAGGGAGGTCCACAGTCCCTATATAGTCCAGTTCAATGGCTAGAAAGGTGGTAAATTACTACAATGCCACCTTTCTTAAAAAATTGACTTGCAGGGGCAAATTAAACTAAAATGAAATGCCCCGAGTTCTAGTTTAAACAACACCTATCTGATCGTCCGTTTTGACGTTATTTGGGTCGACATGCCACGGCATTTTCTTTATAAAAGAAACTTAGACAATAACGGTTATCGTGGTGCCAGAGTTCATATTACTAATTTACTTTTTAAACAGTTTGATCGCTGCTTCACTTTTATATCGTTTCGCTTCACTTCCGTTCGACAATTATATTTAATTGAATAATAGAGTTAAAAAATTATGCTTGTAACATTAAACCCACTATTTACGTCTAAGATTAGGTTGTAAAGTACAGCGTAATGTTGTATGTAGGTTTCTTGTAAGTAATATCTATATTTATGAATTTAAAATTTAAGTATTTTAAACTATTAAGGTACACGTGAGTGTTCTATGTACATGTACATTTTGAGTTCAATTAGATGTTAAGAGAGAATAAGTAGTCGGATGAACTGCGCGGCGGCGAGAGGCGAGAGGCGAGCGGCCGCTTCGAGCGTTCGGGCACTGTTACTTCGCTCAGATTCGCTCGCGCAGTACGCTTGGAACAACTGACGGGGCTGCCTCGAGTCACGATTTTTGATCGGGGTAAACTTTTCGTATAAATCATCATCACACATACTTCATTTGATGTAGTTGACGACAAGATAGGGCGGGAGGATCAAACGCGTCACACACACATTCCAAACTAAAAGCTAAGTGGCGCGCGTCGACGAACGCGTTACTATTTGTAAGTTAACCACTTTGTTGTTCATTAACGATAAGTTAGGTTTAATCTCAGTCGATGTTGTTTAATTTAGTCTGTGTATAGTATTCTATCAATTAAGATCGTGTGAGGATGTGAATTTGAGCGAATCGACAGGCCTCTGCCTGAAAGTTTTATAGTAGGTGTAAATCTTTAAGTACCTAATTGATTACTTTGCACCTAACTTCATTTTGCGAGCCGTGTTAGTTTTATTGATTGTACATATAGCTAGGGCGAGGTATACAGTTTTCATTCAGTTTTAAATGGTTATTGTTGAATCTGAAAATGTGGGGCTGGCAAATACCAATGCAATGTCGCATTTGCTGTTAATAAATTTAATAAATCTATCTGATACCATAGATGTATAGCTATTTATGTGTTAATATTGCTTAACTGGTGTAGAGGCCGTGGCCAGAGTTGAAGATGAGCCTCTAGGCCCATGCGCATTAGCAAGGCCTAGCGCATTCTTCGCGCCGCCATTGGAACGCAACCCTCGCAACTATGTTCAGCGACCGCTTTATGTTTTTATGAATTGTAATACCTAAGTACACCCGTTAAGTTCTGCCATTCAAGGCTTTTTATTTTTGTAAGGTTGCTACCATTTTAACTGAATTAATCGAAAAATGATTTTTATTTGTCGACCAAACTAACGACACTTACGCAATTTTATTTTTTATAGATTTATTGTTGCTGTAATTTTTTTTCGAATAAAAAACTTGAATTGTTACCAATTGTTTAATTATAATAACCAATAACTTAGCGTTACAATGCCACTTGCTATTATTATCCAGTTAGGAATGGAGCAACCGGCGTTATCTACCGCAGCCACACATGTACCATGTCATTACCTCACGTTACGTCTTTTGTATATTACAAATTGATAGTTACTTGTTGTCGCTAAATCTTTTAAACTTATTTTTATTGTCAATATTGTTTCGAGATGTCATTAAGTTTCAAACTGTGAACACAATGATCTATTTTTAGATATCCACTTAGATACGTGTTATATGGCGGTGTAAGACGTCGACCGTGCATTGTCAATGTATTTATTTTCATTAATAAATATTGTGAGACGCACGAACGAGCCGGCGGCGTCGGCAGACGCCGCGTCGTCGCCCGTTATTGTAGAAATAAATCATATTTTCGTTTAAATCATTGTGTCTTTATTTGTTCTTAACATCTCATAAGAGGATATCTTGGCGGCAAGACATCAAGTTTTTAACAGATCTATCGCTATCGCGCTGTGCTCAAACTACCGAATTAGACAGCCTAAAGAGAGACAGCTGAAACTCTGACTTAAGTGACATATCTATATTTATTTTATTTTGGTCTGTTAAATTTTGTCTCATAACGATGAGATAACTGGGTAATTTTAGTAATCCTAAAATATTCTAGCTTTTTATTGACTGATTAAATGCTACCTAAATAACCTCTTATCAACCCTAAAACAATAAATTACAACCATTGAGTTATATGTCCTACGTACTAGAGAAGCCTTTATAATGTGCACTACTCTATGTCTTCGCGCATGCGCGGGAGATAGTAAAGTCGCGCACGCAGTTGATTTAAGCAAGAATCTACTAGTTAGTCTGTGGATTTAAGCGCGTTACGCCTGCGCGATGAGTTTATATAAAGAAATATATTTTTTCATGATTTTTTCTTTTGTAATATTACGATATTATTACCTAATTATTCACTTGAACAACAAATAATTTTACTTAATTGACTACTGAATTGTTTATTACGTCCAGGTTTAAACTTTATTTTGAAATCTTGTATTATTAACACAGACTAACTAGTAGATTGAAACCACACTAAATGACACACTGTACGGATTGCAGTACAGTTCAGTTGAACATAGTATGTCCGGAATGCGCAATCTAGTACGTAGTACATATATATCGATGATTACAACAAGTTAAATTAATGTTGTTCTCGGTAATATGTAATAGTTATTATCTTATTAGATATAAGGCGATAATTATTGCTATTAGACTTGAACATAATAAAAAATATTAAAAACAAATATATTTTTTATGTAAGCCCGTTTAATATACAATTCCCATACAAAACTATTAATATATATAATTATAGTTTATAAAGTGTTAAGGTTGCATTCTTAACGATCCATCAAGCCTTATTGTTTCTCCATTGAGCATTGGATTTTGAATAATGCTTTGGACAAGCAAAGCATATTCGTGTGGATTTCCGAGACGGGGCGGGAATGGCACAGAAGCTTCCAATTCTTTAATAGCAGGCTCCGGCAGCTTCTGCATCATCGGCGTGCGAAATAAACCTGAAAAACCCATTCAGTTATTAAATAAAATTACAAATTATAAATTAACTCATTCATTGCCGCACCATAATTTTCTAATGTCATACGTAGGGCCACCGCTATAATTTGCCGAGACTCGCATGGCGAGTCGTTGGCCGTACGAACGAGGAGGATACATCTCGCGTGGCGAGTCGCTGGCCGTAAAAATTAGGAGTTCGCATCTAAATGTATATTGGCCCATTTTAAGGTGTTAGCAGCGAAATTTACTGAGGAAAAAGATTTCAAACTAGTTCGGGAATTAAACTTCTTTGTTGTTAACCAAAATAATTTGAATAAACACTTCGGTTTTGTTTTAAAAAAAAATACTTTTGGCTTGAAGTAGAGATTTTATACATGTGCACCGGGATGGCGGGAGCACCTTATTTTACTCTAAAATAATAAATATATTGGAATAAATCCTTCGTGATCATTTGGTACCTAAACGTCATTGCTTACTTGTAAGAACAAGTCTGATTTTGTTTTTGACGTGACAACGTCTTATAATTCGATGAAGCTGGCTGCACGCACGAAAAAACATGACTCATGCGGCGTTACCTCGCTCTGAGGCGTTCCATTTAAGGCTTGAAGTGCAAGCGAGAGCTTGGAACGAGCGACAAAGAGGCACAATCGGCCTCCGCGTTCGGCAGCGTTCGACATCTGTCTCTCTCCTACTTGAGTGAGCGATGCGTCCGCATGGACAGCTGCTATTAAATAATACATTTACATGTTTTCGTCAAGTATGAAGTGCAGTGAAAAGTGAATGTGGTGTCAATTGTTTATAGCAACTTTTCTTATGACGTTGTCATGTTCAACTATCGTCAGTAAACCGACTTTACAGACAACCGATTTTTTTTATTTTTCTTGAATTTTTATTTTTAAAGAATTATTTTTATATATGATACTTGTTTTTACAGGTACACTAGAGTTACCAAATGATCACGAAGAGTTTATTCCAATATTTTTATTATTTTGTGTAACTTCACTTTCTTACGAATTCATTTTTTAGATTTTTTTATAGGAGAGGGGGCAAACGAGCATGCGGCTCACCTGATGGTAAGTGACTACCGCCGCCCATGAACAACTGCAACACCAGGGGAATTGCAGATGCGTTGCCGGCCTTTTAAAAAGGAGGCTCTTTTCTTGAAGGTCCCTAAGTCGTATCGGTCCGGAAAAATCGCTGATGGTAATCGATTCCACAAGGAATTTGTGCGAAGAAGAAAACATCTTCTAAATCGCACAGTGGTTTACCGCCAATCATCCAGATGGTATCGGGAGTTCTGCCGCGACGTGCGTTCGTGAAATTTGGTGGCTGGGATTAATCCGAACAATTCCTCACAGCACTCCCCGTGGTAAATGCGAAAGAAAATGCATAGGGATCTCTTCGCAGCGTCAATGAATCGAGCGAGTCGACGATTCGAGACGCTCTACGCTGGATGCGGTCGAGTGGAAGGAGTTGGCACTGGGGAGCCGCAGCTCAGAGATGGGAATAGTATTCCATGTGTGGCCGAACCTTCGCCTTGTAAAGTTGCAGGCGTTGTGCCGGCATGAAATACTGTCCCGCTCTGCTGAGCATGCCAAGCTTTTTAGAGGCCAATTTAGCCTTCCCTTCCAAGTGACCACGAAACTGCACATCACTTGATATGTCGACGCCGTGGATTCCGATACTGGCTGAGGCAAGAAGGGGAGTGCCTTGAAACTGAGGAGATACGACAAAGGAGTTCTTTTTAGTGGTAAACGCGCAAACTTGTGTCTTCTGAGGATTAAACTGGACTAGATTTAGTCGCCCCCAATCCGAGACTTTGTCCAGCAAAGGCTCGACTTCAGACACAAGTTTGTTCCGGTACTCGGTGACGTTTTCTCGAGAAATATTGGCACGGCCGGTATATAAGGCACCACCAGTGCTGTCGTCTGCATAGCAATGAATGTTACCGGTTTGCAACATATCATTGATATTCAGAAGAAACAGCGTTGGTGATAGCACGCAGCCCTGTGGAACACCAGCATTAATAGGTTTCTATTCGGAGCATGCACCGCCTACAGCGACCTTGACGCTCCGATCTGCAAGGAAGCTGGTGATCCAATTGCACAATTTCTCGGGAAGCCCATAGGAAGGGAGCTTCGAAAGAAGCGCTTTGTGCCAAACCCGATCGAAGCCCTTCGCAATGTCCAAACTAACGGCCAGTGGCTCCCCCTTGGACTCTACTGCCTCCACCCATCTATAAGTCAGGTAGATCAGAAGATTACCAGCTGTACGACCCCGACGAGTCTCTAAAATCAAAATGAAGTCAATTTTCGCCATCCCCGCCCCCACCCCTCATTCTCATCTTTGGTTTTTTTTTATAAAAAAATACTTACCTGACATGCGGGCCACGGTTTTATGACATAAAACAATATTCAAAGTGGCTGATAATTTAGAATTTACATTTTTTTTCTTTGTATTTTTGAAGAAAATACGATAAATAGTTAAGACTCGCGTATCGAGTTCTAGGCCACCAGTATGCAGTTCTAATAAACTCGCGAAGCGAGTCCTTGGCAACGAATGAGTTAAAGTAAAATGAGAACAAGTCAATAAAATCATGTAAGTATTAAAATACAAAAAAATATTGAAACCCACCATCGCTTGATTAGGCCGCTCCAAAAAACCAAGCACTTTTTTATTTAAATTATTAGTAATCATGAGTATTATTGTTTAAAATAGCCTGATAATTAATGACTTATTTAATATTAATAAGCGAAATGTCACAATGCATGAACATGCTAAAAATTTGCGAGATAGCGTCTCGTAGATTTTGCCACAAAGAATTTTAAACATTAAATAATAATAGCCCACATCTTCAACAATAGATGTCGTTAAAAGGATAGAAGTCTACTATCTATAACGTAATGCATTATTTTAGCAGCGTGAGTTAATTAATAGAAATGAAAAAAAGGCTGTATTGCATGCTGTTAATACTTTATGAAAAAGATAAATTACTACTTGTACATAGTTAGAATATAAACAATATTATCATATTTATGTATGTAATAAAAGTAAGCATTTAAGAAAGTTATTTTCAGACATTAAGCATGGCAATGATGAGGAAATGTAATATGAAATAAAATATGATGTAAGTATATTTTAGTAAATTACATATTTATGAGGAAACTGTACTAACCTGGTGCGATTGTGACTACTCTAATGCCTTGCTTAGCGAGGTCTCTGGCGATTGGCAAAGTCATACCTACAACACCGGCTTTAGACGCTGAATATGCTGCCTGCCCAATCTAAACAATTTTATTATATCGCTTCAAATATTTATTTCGTAATCTTATCGGTGTTATTCACACGTTTTATATAAAAAATAATTAACTGGTACAAAAATGAGAATTGGTGATCAGGGAATTATCCTATGACGACCGCATGGTCTAGTGATCAGAGAAACTGATATGCCGCGGCATCGGACGAAAATTTGATTTTATTAGGTTCAAATTTTAATCACAGCATCCACTGTGTACAAACACAAATTGTTGTGCTTTTCAGGCCTGGTTTATCTGTTTGTGTGACACTGCATTCTAGCCTTACTCATATCTTATCAAATAAAATTTATATTAGGATAGGTGAAGACCCATTGGCATGCGCGAACTTTTAGTGCGCTATAATATATAAGGACTTAAAGTATGAAATTGCCATTTTGTATTAAATAGTTCAAACACCATTTTTTCTTTATTTAAAGCGGATAATTCTGAAGGTATGGATTATGAGACTGAAAGAAAAAAAAACAGCCTTTAGACGTCTAAATAGGCCAGTAAAAAAGAAATAGTTGAAAGGAAAAAGCAAGAAGGAATGGATAAGAATGATAGAAGAATTTCTGATAACTTCCAGGCAAATATTAAAATGTTCTGGAAACTCGTAGCAACTGCCAAGGGAAATCAAATTAGCCTAGAATTATTGCTATATGTGACGAGAATGTATATTAGTATTTTGCATGACGAAATTTCGAGTAAGAGACTAAAGGAATAATATTTTTTTTATACGTGGTAGAGCCATGCTGCAGCTTTATTACTGGTATAGTTGTAGCATGAATGGGTTGGCTCAACCGGGGATAGTACCACGGGTGACAACGCATCTGCATTTTGAATCGTAATCGAGATGTCTATGGGCCACAGTAACCACTTACCATCAGGTAGACTGTGTGCTTGTGTGTCACCCTTATCCTATAAAAAATACTTTGAAAGTATGTTAACAAATTACATAAATTAAAAATTACGAAAGAAGAGGAAAGAGCCAAAGCATGAAATCATGTAAAGCCAGGTATAATAAAGTATCACTCGAAACGCTAGGGGCTGGAGAGGTAGTGGGGCAGGTCCTAATTTAATTTCTGTTGGGAAATAAAGTGAATACCAGGAGATTAGTGCAATTATAGTTCCAATATATAAGAGCAAAGAGTAACAGCTGGACTTTAAGAACTACCGTTGCATTAGCCTGCATAGCATTGTGGGGGAAAATTGTATGCTAAAATGTTGATTGAGTTATGAAAGAAACTGGCGGAAAATTTGGGATGTGCAAGTTGGATTTAGAAAGGGAATGGGGTGTACGAATCAGGTCTATTCCACGCGCATGATCGCGGAGAAGTTTTTGACAAAAAAGCAGAAAGTGTTTTGTATGTTCATGGACTTGGAAAAGGCTTATGACAGAGTGGACAGGGATGTGTTATGGCTAACACTGGACTCATTTGAGTTGAGCGCTTTTTAATTCTAAAATGTTGTATTAAAATCTCTTCATAAGGACTCTAGTGCTTATGTCAGGTTCAACCGGGCGTACTCGAACTGGTTTGACATACATAAAGGTGTCAGACACAGTAGTGTAGCTTTCCCGCGGTTTTTCAACCTATTTGTGGATAGTTTTTTGAAAACTCTGAAAGTTGTGGAAGAATGTGGGTTAAGAATGGGTGAATGGGTGATCAAGTAATACTTGCTTCGTCAGTAGCAAAGTTGAGAGAACTGCAAACGATGGTTACATTAATGAACAGGTCATTAAAAGAAAGGGGAATGAAAGTGAACAAAAGTAAGACGAAAGATAAGGTTTTTGAAAGAGAATAAAGTAAAACAATATGTGAAATAAGAATAAAAGGGGGTTGGTAGTGGTAGTGATTTAAGTTGTGTGTAGAAGAAGCACGAGAGTAGAATAACTGCTGTAGAAATGCGTAATCTGAATAACATGTTGAGAAATTATGTGATTAGAGAAAAGTGTGGTTTGCGGGATAATGTTGTGACCAGAATTAAGAAGAAATGAATAGGTGGTTAGATAATGCAGAAATAATTAAATAGTAAAGAGTCACTTAGCAAACTTGTGTTGCAGAAGTTAATGGCAGGGTCTGCAAGGGACGACCTAGACAGTTTGAAGATGATCCAGAATTAGGGTACTCCCTTAACCGACGTGCATGTATGCGAAGGTATATGGATGTAAAGGAGGCAAGAGAGGTGTAATGCTAAATGGAAGTAGTCCATCTCTGCCTACCCCTCTGGGTGACGAGCGTGTGTTGTATTATGTTATTTCATCAAAGTATTTGCCCTCATTATCTATACATATCTGCCATCTAAAGTGAAGTTTATTTATGCCTTGTGATATAACTCTGGGGATCTGGACTCTACAGTCTATGAACGCATTTTGTAATGCTTCCAAAGAACAATTTCTTTTTTCTTGTAGGAGGTTGTACAAATTGCAAACAAAAATATGGTAATTGTTTAGACTTAGGTCTGGCGAGTCCATGACGTATGATTTTTAACTACAGGTCTTGTAATGTAAAAACGATTTGTCTAGCAATGTAAGTTCTTGCGTTGTCATGGAGTAATAATTGCGAAAATCGATCAACAAATCGTAGTTGCTTTTCAGTTTCCGAAGTTCTTCACATTAGACGTCTACTTATATTGATACACCGAATCTCAAAAAGATATAGTGAATTACAACACGAAGTGATCAGTAATAACTTTGGTTCCGGTATATTGGTTTCGCTAATGCTTGTGAACTTACAATATCACAAGCAATCATATTTTAAATGTCTGTCCAAAATCCCTTCATGTATGTTCATTAATTTTTCACTATGATTAAACCAAAAACGCACAGTGCCTGTTTTTCGCATTATTTCTAAACGCAGCATTGATATTGCAAGCTGTGCTGCGTTAAAACCATGTTGCAGCTCTTCATGCTTAACTCAATTACACAAAGCAAAAGTTGTAATCATAAAGAATTTTGGACCACACAGGTTTAAATTTATTTAAATTATTGATGTGGCCACTCCATTAAAATGGCAAATTCATACTTTAACCCTCCTTTTCTTTTCAACCTTTATGTCCTGCGCTGTGATGGCTTCTGATTTTATTGTTGTGGCAAATTCGGCCAAGACATTTAAAACAAAAATGAGTTTTTTTCTAATTTTATAAAATTTTGTCATTTTTAGTGAATTCAGATATTTGTTGCAATATAGGAATTACTTAAAACATTGACTGATTGTTCTCAGTGATTCAAGCACAATTAAAAAGGTTGTCATAACATATATGTGCAAATTTAGTACAATAAATATTATACACCAACACAACATTGCTCTGAGCAACAGTGCTTCATTATATGTTAAAGAATACCACCACAAGTTTCTAATAAACCTCTTCTAATAATATATTATGTAACTAATTAAAGATTAGAAGTTAATAAAAGATAGTATTATGCAATAATAATATTAAAGTGGGTGAATACCTGGCCATCAAATGCGGCTACACTCGCAGTGTTTATGATAACACCCCTTTGTCCATCAGCATCAGGTGCATTTTTTCCAATCATACCAGCCACTAGTCTGATGACATTGAATGTGCCTACTAAATTGACCTGCAATAATTAAATAATTATCTAAACTAGCAGTCGTCCAGTAGTCTAAATTCAACAGTAATTTATTAGTTTTTCAAGTTTTTATATTAAGCAAGCTGTATTTTACTTTCAACTCTCAGTATATAAAAGTATTATCTATGCTTTCAACTGCATATTAATGTATAAAATATATGTATACATTTTTATATATTATTATTAATGTATAAAACACATTATCTATCAGTTATATTATTTTATAAGTGGTAGAGCCATGCTGCAGCTATATTAGTAGTATAGTTGTAGCACAAATAGGTCGGCTCGACCACGCTCTCACAGAATACCAGCATAAAATAGCAGCTTGACACTGCTATGTTTCATATGGTGAGTGTAGAATACCGGAGAACTTTTTTACTGGAAAAGAGGCATTCCATCTTAGTCCTCATGGGTGACAACGAATGCATTTTGATTCGCAAACGAAGATAAATGCAGATGTCTATGGGCCACAGTAACCATTTACCATCAGGTGGATTGTGTGCTCGTTTGTCACCCTATCGTTTAAAAAAATATATTTCTATGTGATTTGTACAAAATATAAAATATACACTTTTTGCCTTGATATACACTTTACTGGCTATTAAAAAAGGAACATTAGAAATATCTCACAAAATTCACAGCTCATTCAGTCAATTTGTCAGTAATTCTTTTACATTATTTAGCGAGAATATGTAGTTAAGTGTATGAGTAAGGCACATTTATTTAGCGAGAATTTCTACTTGTGTATGTTTCACCATAGACTATTATGTGTTTGACAACTGAGACTTCCATAAACAATGAATAATTTATTTTATTTTATTTAATGTATTTGTAACACATATTATTTATAAGTGTTAGCTTTCTGAACTCACCATATAAACTATAACTATGCTAAATCTCACATCACTCCATATGCGGAATTTGATTGGTATCTGGCTGGTTTTAATATCAATACATAGATGACATTAAGAAAAAGAAAAGTAAAAAAGCACTTTCCTGCCACTTTTCAATTGTTTTTCTGTCTTACAAAATGTGTGAATCTAACCAAAGAGAATATAATCACTACATTTAAGAGGCGGAACTTCCTAAGAAAAAGTAAATGTATGAAAGTGCGCCAAGCTACTCTACCATCATCAAGACATTACATTTAACTTTTGACAAACAGTGCTGACAACATAGGCAAATTATATTAGTGATGTAAATGTCTATCCACATATAATTTTATCAATATAATGTTTATGGATATATTGTTTATCAACGTTTTTACATAATAAAAGTTAGATCTCAATACTGAATGATTTATGCAAAATAAAACATTATGAAAGTAATTATTATTATGTGGGGATTAAGTAAAAATGCCAAATAGAATAAGAAATCAATGTATTTACACTGCAATTTGTTATTATATTTACAATTGTTAAGTACAAAGAAACAGAACCAAAGAGGTTTTTCTTCAATTTTATACAAACAAAATACGAAAAAAAAATTTCCCCAACCTATTATAACATTTATTAGTAGCTCAACCCTACCTCCAGAGGTCTAGATTTTATTGACTTTCTTTTTGGCACTTAATAAAGGTATATTGTGAATGTATGGCATTTGGTGTATAACTACAGAATTTGTGAATAACTTGACTGAAGTGACAAAATAAAAAAAATTGTATGAGCATATCCATAACAGGGACACGAGCAATTACACATAATATATATAAAGATTTAGGAGTTGCAACTGATACATACCTCAATAGTTTTTTGGAACAACTTAAGGTCAAAGGGTTGATTTTTCTTGAAATTATAAATTCTAGAAGCTGATGCTATGCCTGCACAGTTGACAGCCACATCGAGTCGACCAAACTTATCCATAGTTGTTTGCAAAGCATTTTTAACGTCTTTCTCTGATGTCACCTATAAGTTCACATGTTTTTTCAGTGTAAAAATGAAAAAAAATATTTAGATAAATATTACAAGTTTAATTAAGATATACAACATTGTTTAATATTCTAAACAAAAGTGAGAAAGAGTGTATTTCTGGATTTTTACTGGATAGTCCCAGATGGAGGGCTATTTTATTTCAGTACATGTACTTATTGTATTTTACTGGTTGACAGATTATTAAGTGTGAGGTGTAGATAGATTGATTTCCGTCTCGGAAGTGTCATCAGCTAACTTTTATGATAATATAATACCATAACAAAGCTAATAAAAAATAGGCTCTTGTTAAGGTAAGTCAGTGCACTCCTAAGTATTTAGTAGTAAAGCACTGGTTTATAATAGCAACAAAAAACAATGCTTGCTTAAAGCACATTTTTGTGTTCTTTGATTGTTTATAATATTTTGCTTAATTGCATGTTGAATTCTTTTCCTTACTGCAATACAAAAACATATATAAGCCTACCTATTTCTGGTTTTCTTCTCTAAGCAGCAGTGCAACTAATGCTTTGTTCCAGCTTGAAGGTTAAGAGAGTTAGTATAACAACAGGCTGAGGCAAGCCATCCTAGACTAAGTGAAAATAACATCTGTGACCTTTTTTATTTGAATTTGGTTACAGATGTCTATGGACTGCAGAGCTACTTGTAGGTGAACCGTTAGCTTTTGGTTTATCTTCTTCATCTTCATTAGCTCTTAAAAGTGATCTGCTGAAGATGTGCTAAATGATTCTGCTGGGAAAATGCCATGTGGTAACAACTCAAGAGAATTTATTACTCAATTTCATCCAATGGCTGTTGTGAGAGACAAATAGGGTAATGCCAGAAAAATCTCATGGCTTCTGATACACGGATGTAAAATCATCGTGTTTATGCTGATTAATAATGAATAAAATATTTAAAAAAATACTTAGGACAGGTACTGCCAGCATATAGCATCAAGATCAATTGTCAGATACTACAATCATTAACCCACCAGCCTAATGTAACGCTTGATACAAGTGCTCCTACATAGGAGAAGCCTATGTCAAGTAGAGGACTTTTACGGGCTGATTTATTAAAAAATAATGTCTGTCCATATAGTACACAAAAAACTATTAAGAAACCCATTCCTTACATATCCATAAAGAATTGGCCATTAATTGTTTAAAATTGAAAAAAGTCATAAAATATTACATCAACGGGTACGAATGCTGCATTTTCGCCAAGTTGTTTAGCAGTATCTGGTCCAGGGCTAGTGGGTAGATCACAGATAGTGATGCGACCCCCTTGCTTTACAAGTAATTCAGCAGTTGCACGACCTAAGCCCGAAGCCCCTCCTGTTATTATACAAACGAGGCCCTGAAATAGAAAAATATTATTTTTAGTTTAAATTTCCATAACCTAGAATTATTTCATCACAATTATATTGCTTTCCATTCACTGCATTATATGCAAATGTTTTTTATTTTAATTCAAATTTATTTTTATTTGTGAATATAGGTAAATGAGAGAGAATAGATCTTTAAAAATATAATACAGTTAATTTAAAATTAAATGTGAACAAAAATTATCAAAATAAAATGATAAGAAATGACTAAAAACTTTCATAACCTTGCTTAGGTAAAAAGTTGTGTAAAATCTAAACTCTAAACAGAGTTAATAGAAAAAACTCACTTTAAACATTTTAGTTCCAAATAACTACTTATGTACTTTTAAAAAATGTAAATAAGTTCTTGTTCTGAATACACAACACTGAACCACCGCGCCGTCAGTTTGCTTATGCCAAGATGCCCCAAAATGCCAATGCCAAGGATTATACTACGCCACAGAACACTACTCTTCTTTAAGACTACTCACTATTCTTTAACAAATTTTTGCAAATATTAAGAGAGTACAATAACTCTCCCATACAGGCAAAGAGTATAGTAACTATCCTATACATGAATGCGTACAGGCATATAGCTCTACTATTTCAACACTAAAGTTACATAACCTTTAAAATGTTTGCTTAAAATTATTAATCTATGTAATACTTTTTACATTATTTAACATACACCAAAGAACAGAAAGATAGCTTAGTAATGATAATGTACTGATAAGCATTAAGCAACTGATATCACAATAACAAGTCGCGTCACGGAGAGTACTTGGCGGGAACTCCCTGTTGTACACACAAATTATAAAGTTGTATGTACAAGAGTTGTACATACTACTTTATAATTTGTGACTCCCTGTCCCTGGTATATATAGTGTATTATCTATGGCGGGAACTCATTATTTATTTTATTTAAATATGTTTAGATGCAGATTTTGATACGTAAAAGTGATGCGTAGGCATGAGACCGATATATCAAAACGTAACTAATAACGTTATGTTATCAAATATCATATCATATCGATAAACCTAAGAACATAACCGTTATCACATATCCAACCAAAACCCAAAATCAACTAACCAACGTACGAAACTTAAAACGCAAACTGTAACAATATGCCAAAAACCGAAAACGGCCCAAAACCAAAACTAACCGATGTCCTTTGAACCTTTGATATTCGTTGTTTCTCGTTCTAGCGACACTATCATAAATACGTATGAAAGAGATGAAGCGAATATAGATTTCGTTGCGATGTTTTGGTCGTTATCATAAAACGGCGCACGTAGTGAAATCTAATTATAAGGTTCTAAACAATAAGGTCGAATTTTAAATGGTTAAAATTGCCTATTTTTTTTAAGTTTGTGTAGTTGAGAGAGTTGTCAGATTTAAATGATCTTTAGGACATTAGGCACTAGACTTAGATTTGTTTCATCACATTATATTTGGTTTAGGCAACTTCTGTTTATGTGAAAGTTAGAATTTGATTTTTTTTCAAACGTAACAATTACACACTTGATATTTGTCGCGTGTGCCGTTCACTATGAATCTATCTGTAAAATTATTAATTTTTGACGTTGAGTTTGTGCATTTATTTATAATATTTGTTTGCATTTTGTACATTTGTTTTAAAACTTTCCTGTCAGTCCTAAGCCTAGTTAAGTATATGAAGATAAATCGCTAACTTAAATAATCATTATAAAAAATAATGATTATTAATATAATAATAATAAATAAACTATGTAGGTACCTATATATATATATATATATATATATATATATATATATATATATATATATATATATATATATACACCGGCCTATTTCAAAACTTTTCTAGCATGATTTAGGCTTCGGTATAAATAATAAATACCCACAGTGGCGCCATCTTTTAATAGATTATGTAAAAATATCGGGAAAAATAGTACTTTTACTGTGAGATGGCACTAGTATCAACGTAAAGCAAGCTACTGAGGACATTCATACCCCTGATTTTAGGTTATGTTTCGGTTGTAAACCATTACTACTGATATCGATATTTAAAAACGGTTTTCAATAACGATATGAAAACTAAAAATCAGTTATGTAACCGTTGCAGCCAAAATCTGAAAACGCCCATGCTTAGTGATGCGACTTTGTGTAATATATTTTTTTTTGGAGTTTATGGCCTGGTATCTAGACCTTTAGGCCAAGTCTTAAGTATTTTTATTCGGTTTATTGTAATTTCCCCACTCCTTCATAGTATACTGCTTCACAATATGTTGATGCGTCACATTGTGCAGTTCTTGGGAGATTTTGGCGGCAACTTGATCCAGCAGACAGCTGATAGTTGGCGATGGTATCTAAAGGTGCCTATGCAAACAAACAGCTTATCTTGAGAATCCATCACCATCAGAGCACTTGTTTCACTGTTTCCACTAATAGTTCACATGCGTAGACACTTAATACACAAAATCGCAACACTTTTACATATCAAAGTCCACTTCAAACCATTATTTAAACAATAATACAGGAGCAGCAAACCGCCGCCGGTCAATTTCCCGCCAAAACTCCTGTAATATATTGTGTTATGTACAGTGTTGCTAACCTTATACGAAGTAAAATCTGTACTGGGTTGATAAAAATCCGTATAAATTCCGTATGTCTTTATCATTAGTAAGAATATTGTATAAAAGGAGCAGTTGCAAAAAAATAAACATACAAGGAAATACTTATTACTAACGACAATTAGAATAATCTAAAATAATCGCGAAACCGCCCGTATATTGATTGACAATGAACATAAGGATTGATAAGGATTTGATTAACCTATTTCTTTTGTGGTAATTTTTTTTTTATAATTGATGAGTTTACTTCGAAATCTAAACAGGCTGTGCTCCCTAACAAATATTTAGTATATAGCAGTCCCTCTATTGTCTCAGTAGACAAATGATTTCCTTGTTTTGTCGTTATGATATTGATAGCTGAGAATGTGATATGAAATCCGTATGTGAATGTTATCCGTATGCGAGGTTGAAAATCCGTATAGTTAGCAACACTGGACTGGTTGTGTCTGCGCATGTAAATAAACTACAGACTACTTTGATGCCTCATCCACACGCTTGGCAAACAACGGCAAACAGCATTCACCAAACAGCAATCACGAACGTGTGGATGGTTGTTTGCCTGTTTGTTTGTTTATATGCCAGTGATCGGCGTTGGTGTCGGTTTTTGTGCACCGATCAAAGGATGTTCGACAAACGTGTTTGCGATGTATCCACACGTTTGGAAATCAGTCAGTGGTACGCGCGAGCTTGCGGCTTGCGGGCGGCGCAAGAAGTTACTAGTGGCTATTATTATTATACTCTACGCTAATGTTACCAATTCGAAATTTCTCTCGGAGGTAAATATCTACCACCTATATTTTTTTAAGTTTTCTAGAGACCTCCCAATAATATTGTGATTGACTCCTAATTAATGTTTCTATTGGGTAACAAATATTTCACCTCTTTTTATAAGGAGCCCCGTGTGAAAGGAGGATCATCAATTCCCAAAATAAAATTCGAAGAAATTATATAAGATTAGTATATCCTATAATATATCGATAAGTTTAGTACCTACAATATCCTGATATTTAATAGTTTTTAGACTTTCGTAGTTACACAACAAGGAACCCTTTTTTTTTCTACGTGTCTATTCTATCATGTGGGGTATCGTTGGATAAGTCTTTCAGAAACATTGGGGGTGTTGAACAACATATTTTCAATTCAGGCGTCCGTTTGTGAAATTTTTAGCTTTAAAGTGGTATTTTTCATTAGAGACATTACATTTATATTTTACATTTTCATAGAAAAGGCCTAAGACTAGCTGCATTAATAACTTTGTAATGTTATTGTAAGCTGTTAAAAATAAACATTTTATGAAGAAAACTGCTCATATGTATTACTACTATTAGTTTTGACGAAGCGCTTAAAAAATACTATATCATATTCCTTCCATAAAAAATCAACAATTCTGCGTTTTGAAAATATTGCAATTACATTGTATAAAGCGCTTCGAATAAAGAGATAGTCTATGTGAAAAGTAGATAGCTTCAATATAATGTCGAACGAAAGTTCGGGGTTCGATTCCCCGGTCAAGCATTAATTTCATAAAAGTTTGTTTTTAGATTAATTTAGAGTCACGTTTTACATAATAATCAGCTATGCATAACGAATAAAAGCGTTCAAACCAATTGAGAATTAATATGAGATTCTATGGTAAATAAATTCTTCAATACAATAACCTTGAGAGCAATTCATATTGCCTTATTTTTAAATAAAAATAGGTCAACCCGAAAGTAATCGCTGCCACAAGCTCGTCGTCCGTCATGTTTGCCTATCCGGAATATACTAGCACGTTCGCCAAGCGTGTGGATGCCGTGTTTGTGTTGGGTGAATGTGGTCGTTGTTTCTTTGTGTATGGTGTATGTGGCAAACACCAAGCGTGTGGAGGCGGCATAAGAAACTTTTAGTTTTAAATATTAATGGTAACGACGAATGTGAAACAACTGGGATGCCTCATCCACACGCTTGGCAAACAACGGCAAACAGCATACACCAAACAGCAATCACGAACGTGTGGATGGTTGTTCGCCTGTTTGTTTGTTTGTTTGTATGTGATTGCCAGTGATCGGCGTTGGTGTCGGTTTTTATGCACCGATCAAAGGGTGTTCGACAAACGTGTTTGCGATGTATCCACACGTTTGGCGATCAGTCAGTAGTACGCGCGAGCTTGCGGCCTGCGGGCGTCGGAAGGAGTTATTAGTGGCTATTATTATTATACTCTACGCCAATGTTACCAATCCGAAATTTGTCTCGGAGACAAAAAATGAGTTCAGAAGTTGAGTTTCCTACCAATTCTACTTCGAAAAGTTAGTAGATCTACCACCTATATTTTTTAAGTTTTCTAGAGACCTCCCAATAATAATGTGATTGACTCCTAATTAATATTTCTATTGGGTAACAAATATTTCACCTCTTTTTATAAGGAGCCCCGTGTGAAAGCAGGATCATTGATCATCAATTCCCAAAATAAAATCCAAAAAAATTATATAAGATTAGTATATCCAATATATCGATAAGTTTAGCATATTCTGATTTAATAGTTTTTAGACTTTCGTAGTTACACAACAAGGAACCCTTATAGTTTCGCCATGTCCATCCGCGGTTTTGCTCAGACCCTAGGTGGTACAAATCTGTAATTTGGCACAGTTATAAATATTAATCACGCCTAGAAAACTGTGAAATAAAATCTTAAAAACATTTTTATTTTGGGTATTTGCCATACAAG